AGGTGTTATAATAATAATTATTCGAACGTGAAAAATAACAATGACAGAGTTCTTCTTTGGCAACTACAATGAAATAAACAGGAATTTATCTGGACTGCTTCACTTTGATTCAGTTTTGTTGAGAACGATATAATATAATTAATTATAACTAGAATCCTATCTTGGAATGAAGGGATTTAATTTCAAACTATACAGGGTGTAATTCAATTTATGGCTAAAAATATAGGACATGGTTCCTCAGCCCATTTTGAGAAGAAAAGTTGATATGAACATATGCCCTAAACCTCTCAACTTCCGAGCTATAGGGTGTTGGAATTTTTATGAAAATAAGCATTTTCTTATGATAACTTCGACATACTATTCTAGATATTCTCATGAAATTTGACATGCACCAACTGAAACAATGTGGTGTAGTTTGTAGGTAAGATGTGTTTTTGTCTAATTTTTATTGAAGTGAAGTCGTTGATTGAATTTGCCAAAATGGTTTCATCATTTTCAAATATGTAACTCAAATTATTGCAAGAGGAATGAGAATTGCATTTATTTTTTAGAAAAATCTCCAGTATTTACATCCCATACGGACACGAACTGGCCATCAGTGCTTAGTAGGTGCATGTCAAATTTTATGAGAATATCTAGAACAGTATCAAAGTTACTACAAGAATTTTTTTTTCTTAAAATTTCAACACCCTATTGCTTTAAAGTTAAGAGGTTCAGGGCATATAATATGTTCATATGAACTTTTCTCATAATGTCTACATCCTATATTTCTAACCATCAATTGAAATAAACTTTGTATAACCAGGAGAAAAAGATCGATAAAATTGTAATGAAACAATAAAGATATAGTACTGAATTTTATGATTTGACGTTCATTCAGGTAACCCATTCATTTTCAATATTATGCTGAGTTGAATAAAACTCTGAAAATTTTTGGGTAAATCCGAGGATGAATCTGGCATAGCGCACTCACGAATACGGAAAGAAAATAGAATTCCCTCATTTCCAATAGAACACCACTTTTTTTTTCATTATTCATTCTACATATTACTCTGATATAAACCATAAAACATATAAGGTAATTCATTACTATTTTCAACTGTTTCAGAGTAATATCGATTTTTGAGAATATTTTTGAAGATGATTTTCATTCAAACTGAAACACTGAAACTCTTGATTTCTTACAAAGGAGAACTGGTTCACATAAAATGCTCTTTCGAGTGGAAATATGAATTTCATAAACAAGGATATCTACAGTGTGATTATTATCAGCATGCAGATCATAGATTTCAAAATCAAAATAACATTTTATACTGTTGAATATATAAGCACAAAGAAATATCGATAAGTGGAAAACTTCTATAGTTATTTTACTCGGCTATAATTATAAGGTATTATTTTTTGATCATGAAGGATTTAATTTTATTTATTTATATTGAAAAAGAAGTCAAAAATACACATCAAACATTCTGGTATTTAACAGTGCACTGCATGTTCTGTTCTGTGACCATGTGCTATATATACAGTGTGTCCACTTTAAGAACTTTACCACCGCCTGTAAAATCCGTATTATCTTATCTGATCGATTTCGAAAAACTTTTTTTGTTGTGTAGGTATTTGAAATATCCATCAAACAAAAAAAGTGATTTTATTCTTGGACTGTTATCGTGGCCATCAACTGCGACCAATTTTATTGACCCATATTTCGTAAACTACTATTGGGGATTTTATTTTTTCACTAAAACCATAGATCTAATTACACTAGATCTATGCTAAAACTAATGATAGATTCTGAACCTAGATCACTCAATGTAACCCTGTACCGATTTTCATCGTCATAAAATCGGATTAATAGATATATTTTTTGTATACTTGATCAGAAAATGTAGTACTGTGGTATGTTTGGGAAGAACTAATGTCAAATGGATATTTAGGACTACTTCGAACATATCAGTTCCGATTATTATCATTCAAATATACAATGTGTCTGAGAAAACAAAAAGGGTGGGTAGGCAATTTTTTCATCCAGCAAAAAATAATAAAAAAAAAATTCGGACACCCTGTATTTTATGATGATGAAAATTAGTACAGGTATGTTCCGAGTGATCTTGAATGAGAATCCGTCATTATTTTCTAGGTATAGAATCATGCATCATGAAATATTGTCTACTTATTCGGTTCGGTTCAGTATCTCCTATGTCCATTGAGATATCAAATTGATGACACAACACTGTTCTGAAGCAAAGTAATATTTTTATGTGTATACCGTTTTCATATCGCACATGCTGATGAGAATTATTAGTTCTTATATCAAAAATAGGTATTCAGAGAAAAATAACTCTTAAGAACGATTAAGAAATATGATTTCATGGGAAAAATAATTGGAGGATATACTAACGACAAACTTCAATTAAAAAAAAAATAATTATACCGATGCCGCTTTATTCAAGAAGTACTTCAACTATATCTATCAATCCATAGAATCAACTAGAATCAAACAATGAATAACCATGAGTCAGCTTCATAAGATGAAGCATAAAATATTACTCTAGCGATGTGAATATTAACCCCAAATCTTAGAAATATTCAGATATCTGACTATCTCGTACCACAACTCACCATAAGAAATGAGTGATTGAAACAGCGGGTGGTTGGAATAGATATTAGTCTGGGTGCATAAACTGAAATTTTATAGGGATTTTCACAGAAGTCGTTACTTTTGATTTGAGCCCCACTGTACCTACCTCACTTTTTCTCGGTTAGCCATGGTGGCGTGCACTTGACCTGTGGAAAGTAATTTTGATTTTCTCGGTGAAAACCGTAGAAACCCTTAGGGGTATTTGATATTGGAAGCCGTTGCTTACCGGTTAGTGGATGGAATCTCCGTCAGGAAGCCATTAGTGGGATTTGTTCCTGGAGACTGCCATGAAGTCTTAGAAGCCATGCAGCCCGGCCTGTTTCTGTTTCAGTCCTTTGAAGCAAGTTCTAATAACTCTTCAATCCTACCTCCCTTCTCAGAAGGTAAGTCACAGCCATAGCAGATTCAGCAGTGAGACGAAAATATAATATCCTGTTCTTCAGTTTTTTTTCTGTTGTCTCCACGTGCTCTGTGTGCCCTCTCAGGAGGCTATATTCAGATTATTTCTTAGGGTGCTAGGGTGCAGCTAAGCTGTGCTTCGGACTCCTGGTAGCGACCGGCCCTCGGGATACTCTACTCTACCCTTGTCAAGATCCCCCAGTGGATCTGAGTAATCCTGCAAGGTCTTCGGATCTTGGCCAGAGTCGACCATGGAGACACCAGATGGAGCCCAGTAGCAGCTGGTAGAGACTGATCCCTGGTTACACTGCATCCTGGAACTCTGCTGACCGTGGAGGTTCAGCATTCCTCGTTGTGTTATCTTCACCTGCAGTGACCTATGCTGCACATCTACATACATACCACTTGGGACCTTGGATAGGGGTGATCTGGACCATTGCAGAGGACCCTTGGACCACTATCAGGTTTTTTTGTTCCACCTTCAGTGTTTCACCTTTTCGATATATATTTACATTTTTTCACATCTGAGACTGGTTGAGTAATCACATTTTCTTACAGTATTAATTCACAAACTGGTGAAGCTCTTGTGAAGCTCTCCCATAGTATACTATGTGACTGCGGTTGCTTAACAGTTCATTGCGCTATCATTCCTTGACTAGTTATACAGTCCGTTTTATAGTTGATATAGGATTGTTACTATACTCATTTTCACTTATTCTAAAAATATGGTAATTGTCCTGGTATAGGTAGGAAAATTATGATAGAACCACCATGCAATATACTTAACCTACACTATTGAAATAATACAGTACTTAAGTGATTATTTTTCATCATGAAACTGCAGGCCTCTACATAGGTCCATATATAACCTTGTCTCTGGTGGTGTGAAATATAATAGGTCTTGAATTTTATGTTGGTTTTCATTCTTCCATATGTCCAGCCCAGCCTTCTAAGAAAATATACCTTGAACAACCTTCAGATTTTTGGAAAACAGATTATTTGGAAAGAAATTTGGTTTTCTCAATTATCCAAATTGTAGGATTTTTATAAATTGAGTGGCGTCCAAGAACTTGAATTTTCTTCACCATCTAGCCTATAATTCGAACTCACTTATTTGTTCTCCGATGTACAGCTGCCGATAGCAAATGTGTTTGACTTTTTAATAAATTCATCCTTTTATATTAAAAGTTGGCCACAATGTTCCGATTCCATTCGGAATTTTCATCTGGGGTTTTAGGAGTCGGATATTATGATTCGTTCGTCAAAATTGGGAAATTCAAGTGAACTTAAAAGAATCTGAAATAAATGCGGTAGTTCGAAAAACTAAAGAAACACACTTCTATAGATAGGGAAACAAAAAAGAAGTACTGTCTGTAGGTTAATCGAGGAGGGGTACATTAATTATTCAAAATTTTTTGGGATTTTCTCTCGTTTCCATAAAATTAAAATATGGATATTATTTCAATATACGTCTAGAAAGGACAAATCAGATGATTTGCCCCAAAATGTCACTGCATTTAAAGAATGTTCCTATCAGAGAGCCTTAAAGAATAATTCACTAGCTTGTCAGTGACAATTTGTATTGAAAATGGTTTGGAGAAGAGAAATAAAGGTATATAGGAAAAATATCAAATTTTCACTTATCTTTGGACGTTTCGGGACCGAATCTGCTCCCGTTTTCAACATTAAAAATGGTTATTTCAATGTATGATTTCAAACATTCAATTGAGTTGGTAGCAACTCAAATGAGTAACAATCCAAAAATTCATGGGTTTATAAAAAAAAACCTTGATAGGTATTAATGAATTGACGTGTTTTCATAGTGTCATCAGTTGAAGAAATATGGAGTGCTGCTTGTTTTCAGATTGTCACCCTGTATGATGTGTGTCAATTTTTCATGAGATTTGTTCAAAGAAATAGTATTTAGCTGCAGATGTAGGAAAATAAACTTATTCAGTATACCTCAGGTATAAGGGCATTATATTTGAAGAAAAAAACATACAATGTATTTACAGATCCAATGAAAATAATCTCTGGTAGACGTGAAAATGGAAATAGTAAGTATCGTAGTAGTATCGTAAGCATCACGGCCTGCCAAAAGATGATTTATGTTATAACAGGTACATGTTCAGTCTTTATTCTACATGTTCGTTTTCAATTCAAATACATTTTGATTATGTTTATTGATTTATTAAATAACATTCTGACGAAAGAAACACTATTCCAATTCAATGGACTTAGCATGATGAAGTGTGATGAAACTATTCACCTAAAATAATACACCTTTTAGCCTCTAATTCAAGTACTTCAGGACAAAGAGCAAACAATAATAATAATAAACATCAAATTTCCCAAAAAGCTATGCATTTTTATTATAATCAAAACGGTAATTGTTTTATAAAATCATAATAAATTGGGATTTTTTTTGCTGAAAAAATGACCCCATAAACCTCATGGTTTCAAACTCCCACATTTGAATTTTCATACGATTTCTATGAAGAATTCAAAAAATAGACACATTCAAACAGCGTTTTTGCGAAGCTAAATGAATATTTACTCGGAAACGTTTTTTCCATCAAACCATAATTTTCTACCTACTGGAGCTTGGAACGTTGCATTTACGGTTAATTTGAAAAAACTTTTTTCGAGACAGAAAATAAAAACAATGACTAAGTATGGGTTCGAAAGCATGAGGAACAATAATATGAAGTTAAATTGTCTGCAAAAAATTCCTAATATGATTTCATAAAAAAATCGACTCCTTCTTGGTACGAATTGCACGACTATAATAATCAATGGCTGAGAGTTATAAGTATACAGGGTGTTTCTTAATATATGTTCAGGACTTCAGGATCTGAAAACTTGTCCAAAAATATGAAAAAAGTTTTTATCAACTTACCCTCTAAAATTCACCATTTTCGAAATACATGGTGTTGAAATTTGAAAAAAAAAGTTCGTTTTTTGCGAATATCTTTAGAACCGTTTATCGCACAGAGAACAGCTTTCGTTAGCATTTTCTACTCATAATAAGCTATGTTTTGTGCGGATTTTTTTGTTTTCAAGTCATAATTAGTGAAGATTTTGAAGGGTTCTAAGCCACTGGAAAAAGTAGTTTTGAGCCACCCATTCGAACGGCCAATGTTTTCTACACAAAAAAGATACTTGTGGTCATAAGCTCTAAAGTTGATTGTTTTTGAGAGAAATCAACTTTCATGTTGAAAATCATGGTAAATTTTTGGAAATAAATTTTTTAACAATTGAACAAAATCTATTTGAACTTTAGAACAAGTTACAAAACCAAACTTCAACTTTACACAAAAATGAAAAGAAAACAATAGCAACTCTTACTCATTCAAATTAAGAATTGTTGCAATTTTTCAAAAATTTACCATGATTTTTAACATAAAAGTTGATTTTTCCCGAAAACGGTCTTTAGAGCGTTTGGTCAAGAGTAAGATTTTTTTGTGTAGGAAATATTGGCAGTTCAAATGAGTTGCTCAGAACTGTACTTATTCCAGTGGCGTAGAAGTTGGGTTGAAAAACACTCACCACCCCTTCAGAATCTTCACCAATTATGACCTGAAAAAATGTGAATTCCCCACAAAACATAGCTTATTATGAGTCGAAAATGCTTACGAAGGCTACTTTTTGTGAGATAAACGGTTCCAGAAATATTCGCGAAAAACGATTTTTTTCCTAAATTTCAACACCCTAGCTCTGTATCTCGAAAATAGTGCATTTCAAAGGTAGAGATAATAGAAATTTGTTCTTCATATTCTTGAACGAACTCTCACATCTTGAAGTCCTGCGCATATATTATGAAACACCCTGCATAAAGAGTTAAGTCAAGCCAATTGAAAATAAACTAGAACACGGTTTTGCAAATATTACTTGCATGGTTATAATATATACACTGCAATATCCATGAAAAACAAACCTACAAGCATATGATCCACACAACTTTGAAATTATCCAATTTGAAAGAAATTAACCTTGATTTAGGCCTCGTCAATGAAAATAAACAGATTCCTCGCACCACAACACAAGATTAGCAAGATTTCGATAAGTTCTAGAAGAATAGCACATAATGATGAAGGAATGAAGAATGACTGCACTTATAAACTTCAATTTCATAGAGCAAGAAACACACTGATGATCCAAAATAGAAGGATACACTTCATAGTCGTCTCTGTTCCAATTCAAGATGAAAAATCCTTGTCATTATCAGTGTATATCATGAATTCATCGATGGGGCGTTTAAATACAATATGGGGTAAACATGTTTTCGAAGTTTTCGATTTAATTATACCTGAATGATAGTATGAAAGATGTAATCAAACATGTGAGATTATTCACTGATTTCCTTATTATAAACTCGGTAAATCAGATTGAGCTAGTTGATATGCGACGTCATCGATTTTTATATAGTGATTAAGTAAAGGTTGGAACAAATACGTTAAAAGCTTGATATGGCCAGTGGGGAAAAGTTCGTTTTTTTTTGTTTTGCGTATGTTTTGGTCTACTCATATATCTTGTGACGTCATTACTGTTAAACTTATGACGTCATTATGGTTTTTTTAATGACCATACCCTATTTTCATAATACTTTCTAAGAGAACCCATTCTTCTGTGTATAGGGACGTCATATTATTTTCCTATTTTTTCCCATGTTCCATAACCGTATTTTCGAGAAATGATTGAAATTTTATTTCATTCATAACATTGAAATTTATGAAGATGACGTCATCAAAAATATCAGTACACCAACAACTGCCCATCTGGAATAGACAATCGACGTGTCTGAGTTTTTTCCCAATTGCCATATAAAGCTTCAATAAATTTGTTTTTCTGTGACGGGAAAAAAGTTTGGCATTTCATCTCTGTTGGCAGGTTATAAAATGTCACTTTTCATAAATTACTTTTTTCCCGTGGGAAAAAAGTGAGTACTTTTTTCCGGATATATATCATATATATATACACTGTAGATGGCTTTTGTTGTGCTATAGTTCCGAAAAATGAGTCAATAATACAGTCTCCGAGAAAGAACTGCAAGTCCTTTAATTTTCCATTCGACTTCGCGGTTACGTAAATTACTGAACAACCACTAAATTCGCAATTTTTTTTAATCAAATCACAGAATTAGACTGACAGAAGTGACATCAGATATTTGATTACTTCAAAAGAATGATAAAGATGCCTACAACGCATCAGGTGTCCTTACTGTTAAAAACTTGAAATTTCACGTCGATAATTTTCAGATTTCAAAATAATTCAATATCTTCTCAATATTGATTCGTCCTTTCTTCTGTCACAGAGAAAAATAGTGTATTATACACGGGAAAAATATTAGATTTTAGCTCACGGTTTTTTGTCAACACAACCTAGAGCTAAAATCTACTACTTCTTTCCCTTGTATAATAATAGTTATTTATTATACAAGGGAAAAAAGTAGTAGACTTAGCTACGCGTCGGGAGACAAAAAACGGTGAGCTAAAATCTAATATTTTTCCCGTGTATAATACAATTTTTTTTTTTCTATGACAGAAGAAAGGACGAATCAATATTGAGAAGATATTACATTATTTTGAAATCTGAAAATTATCGACGTGAAATTTTAAGTTTTTAACAGTAGGGACACCTACGTTTTAGGCATCTTTATCATTCTTTTGAAGTAATCAAATATTTGATGTCACTCGTGTCAGTCTAATTCTGTGATTTGATTTCAAAAAATTGCGAATTTAGTAAGTGTTAAGTAATATACGTAGCCGCGAAGTCGAATGGAAGATAAAAGGATTAAAAGGACTTGCAGGTCTTTCTCGGATGTTGATTCATTTTTTTGAACTATTTATAGCACAACAAAAGCCATCGACAGTGTATAGGTATATATATGTGATATATACCCGGGAAAAAAATGAGTACTTTTATGAAAAGTGACATTTTTTAACCTGCCAACAGAGATGAAATGCCAAACTTTTTTCCCGTCATGAGAAAAATAACTATCAAACCTTTACATGATCATTGTACGGGGTGAACAACTAAGAATGGTTGTTTTATCTATCATTGTTCCAACTTTGATAGTTGATACCTTCCGTTGGTGAAAAGTTATCATGTTGCGGTTTTCGTTGGTCTGTTGAGATAAAGTTTCTCTTTTTCATCGTGTAATGATATGAAGCCATTAGATTTATTCTATCTCAAACTTGTATCATTATTCGTTGTTGAGATATGACCGACAGCCGTTCTTAGTTGTTCCCCCGGTATTATCAATGATGAATATAATTATTCATTATAACCTACCTACTAGTAACTGTCGAATGATAGATTTTGATTCTTATAAATAATTGTCATTATCAAACATATTTTATCCATATCAACATCAACTATGGACAATGACAGAAAACTCTCAGGTGCGGAAAAGAAAATAAATTATCATATTCTTGGAACACGAAAATAAAAATGGCCGAGTCAAAAACAAATCAAATAAGGAAGATAATGAAAACTGAGATAGGAGAAGCTACAAAAACGAAACAATACAATGTTGAAATGTAGTGTTTTTTGCTTATCTTACAGATCCGGAATCACTGCCTTCTTCTTGCGGAATATACTGTCCAATACCCATAAAATGACACAAGTGAATGATAAGGCCGAAGCAGTGTGTAGAACAGGTACATACGATTCAGCTGCATCATGGATGGCACCTACATTTCAGAAAATAATATACAGGGTGTCTCAAAATTCAGTACCTATCAAGATTTCAGGGACCTATTTTGCAGATCAAAATGAGTCTTTCTTCCTAAAAGTATGTATGCGCAAACACTCCGTTACCGATAATAATAATTATTATTTATTAATTCTTGAGATTACAAAGTAATATTGGACAGGTCAAATAAATCAACGTTCATACATTTCAATGGGCTAGTGGACTTTTTTTTTAATAGTAACATCAATCAATTACTTTTCTATTACATAATTTTTTAGATTTTTTTCGGTCGATTTCAAGGTGCTTGAATTATCAATAATTCCACAGTTATCTTCAAATGGCAAGAAATTTACGGTAAAAACTGACGTCACGATTTCATAAGTAGGGGCAGAGCATATAGCACATTTGCATATGTTGAAATACGAACTTCAAAAATATTAATTATTTAATAATTCATGAATTCTAAATTATTCTTCACATCTACGTCCTCCTTTGGTACATTTTGATATATTCCAATAATTATGTCCTGTGTACACGGCTTTAGAGTATAAACACTTTTTTGTTTCCCATGCTCTTATCACCTCGCCTGACCAGTTCCTATGAATCAGTCCAAGTCGCGTAAACGAACACATGATTACTTAGGCGAAATGCGAGAAATGCAGAAAAAACTGAGGAGATTGGAAAAGCACCTATTAAGGAATGATTCATCTACGGAAAACTCAGATAGTGAGTACAAAATAAAAATAAGTTTTTACAGCTACAGGGGGACTATTATGAAGCGGTGACATTGGGCACCACATACCTATTTATAGGTATTTTATGTTACTCGGTGACATTGGGCACCATGTTTCGAGTTTATTGGTGACATTGTGCACTATGTTTCAAATTATTGGTGACATTGGGCACCATGTATTATGCTGATCGGTCACGGTGACATTGGGCACCACGAAGTGATCAAGTGAAACTCTGAATGACTAGGAATCTTTTCCATTGACAGGTTGTTCTTCTGAGGAAGAAGGAGCGAGTCATAGTGATTCTTCAGCGGTTTCGACCGCAGCAGAACCTCCGCTGGTCACAGTGGCGCAGGTTCATAGATCCGCTGATGCTTACCTAATACCTCTACTGGGTACAAATCCGAATTTGCCGGCGAAATCTGGTATTTTTTTGAATGAAGAATTGATTTCAAGATGGACGGCATACTTAAGGCAGAAATTCAAAACGATATCCAAGAGAAATATCCCACTCCATCCAATTGTCAGGCATTGAATCCACCTAAAATGAACGAGGAATTGAAAACCCCTCATTCCAGAATCAATTGCAACAACAGAAAGATTCTTTATTTCAATCCAGGAACAAGTAGCAAGGGGACTTTCAGCTATTGGTGAAGTATTAAATGCAAAGTTAGACAAACCTGAGGATGAAGTAATTCTATCTACTGAGTTAACTCAAAAACTTGTTGACTTGAAGAGAAGGACGAATATTATACCTTTTGTAAATTTAGATAGCAAGGCAGCATCAATGGTTCCAATAGATGAATATCTATTTGGAACCAATTTTCTTGATAAGGTCAAAGCTCACCAGTCATTAAGGAAAGCAGGTTTGGAGATAAGGAGAGCTACTCCGGAGGATGTGGTCCAAGCAAAAAACAAGAATTCTTTAAACTACAGGAAGGGGTACGGGAAACACAAGAAGAAAGAAGAGGTAGAGAAAGAAGAGAGGTGGAGCAGGAAGTCATATCCCAGGTCCCGAACATTCAACCACCAGTACCAGTCATCCAACCAGTTTCAGAAGAAGCCGCTGAAGAAGCTATATTTTCGTCGCCAGGAAGGTCAGAGGAAAACCTATTAAATCAAGTAACCAATGTTGATGTGGTTACCAAATATTCTGGTAGACTGAAACTTTTCAGTGATAATTGGTCAGAAATATCTAATAATAAGACAGTTTTGAATTGGGTTCGTGGTGTGGATATACCATTCATATCAAAGCCATATCAAAAACAGGTTCCCCAAATTAAAATAAACGAATCAATTTATATATGCACCTCATTTTAAATTGGACGGTCACAAATCTGTTATGAAACTATTGACGAATAATTGTTTTATGGCTAGTATGGACCTAAAAGACGCATATTAACCCCTTCCTATCAGAAATAATTTTCGAAAATACCTAAGATTTCAATTTCAGGAAAATCTTTATGAATTTACATGTTTGCCATTCGGCCTCAATATCGCGCCGTTTATTTATACGAAATTACTGAAACCAGTTGCTTCTTCACTGAGGAAGAAAGGCTGTACCATAATTGTATATTTAGATAATATACTACTCATTGATGAACAGTACGAACAATGTAAAAAATCGGTTGATTCAACTTTGAAATTGTTTACATCATCGGGATTCATCATAAACTATCAGAAGAGTAATAGTTTTATCGCAAGAGCTGAAGTATTTAGGTTTTCTTTTCAACACAAGGAAAATGACTATAGGTTTACCATCAGATAAATCTCTAAGAGTGACTAAATTCGTGAAATCACTTGTCAAGAAACCACATTGTAAGATTAGGTATTTTGCATCGATTATCGGTATGCTTGTTTCAGTCGCACCTACCTTAAATTATAGCTGGCTACACATAAAGAAATTTGAAATTGTAAAAATCAGGGCGCTGAGACATAATCATGGAAACTTCAATGCAACCATGAAAATACCTCGTTTTCTTACGGGTGATATTAGTTGGTGGTTAGCAAATATAAATAAAACGGGTAGACACTTCAAACTAGAACAATTCAGTCTCGAAATATTTTCTGATGCTTCAACTACTGGTTGGGGTGGTTTTTGTGAGGGTATGGAATGCAAAGGTTTTTGGAATTATGTTGAAAGAAAAAAGCATATTAATTGGTTAGAGATATGTGCCGCAATTTATACATTGAAATGTATAGCAAAAAATGTATGTCAAAAAACAATTTTATTGAGAATTGATAATATCACAGCAGTAGCCTGTATCAACAAGATGGGAAGTACTCGATTTCAACATCTGAATGATATCACAAGAGAAATGTGGCTTTGGTGTGAAGATAGGAGAATATTGATTCAGGCCTCATATATCAGTTCTGTAAAAAACGTGAAGGCAGATCAACTTTCAAGATCAACTTCAATTGATAGTGAATATGAGTTGAATCGAATGTCTTTCAATTATATTTTGAAAAAATAAAAACCGGAAATAGACCTATTTGCAAAAAGAATTAATAGAAAATGTGACCCGTATGTATCCTGGGGTCCTGACCCAGAGTCCATAGCAATTGATGCCTTCACAATCAACTGGAAGAACTATTATTTTTACAGCTTCCCACCGTTTTCTATGATTCATAAGACCGTTGAAAAAATTATATCAGATAAAGCTACAGGAATTTTAGTTGTTCCAGACTGGCCATCCCAATCATGGTACCCGTTATTTTTCAAATTACTAGTGGGAAAGCCGGTAAGATTTTCCCCACATGAAACATTATTATTATCTCCTTCCAGGGAAAGCCATTTCCTACATCGGAATCTTTTCCTGGTGGTCGGGAAGTTATCTGGGCTGCATTTTCCAAGAACGTCCCAGAAGAAATTGTTCCAACAATGATATCTTCAATTTGTGAGACTACTCTGAAACAATATTCTTCTGTGTTCAAAAAATGGTGGGAATATTATACATCACAAAATATCAATCCCTATAAATATGATATGACATATATTTTGAAATTTTCGAACGAAATGTTAAAATCTAAATTATCTTACTCGTCTTTGAATACATTTAGATCCGCGCTTTGTACTCAAAAGGTTTTTGAAAGGTGCATATAACCTTAACCCCTCTGTACCAAAATATTCTGTTACATGGGACACAACATTGGTATTACGGGAACTTTAAAAACTGTATCCGTTAGAGAAGTTATCTATAAAAAATCTCACATATAAATAAGTGACTCTACTGGCCTTAACTACAGCGCATAGGGTTCAAACATTATCCAAGATTCATCTTGAAAATATCATATGTTCTGACGATAAAGTGGAGATCAGGATCACTGATAAAATCAAAACATCGGGACCTAATAGGAATCAGCCATTTATTGACTTTCCATATTTTAATGAAAAACCTGAACTATGTGTAGCTGCCACTATAAATCATTATTTGGATAGGACAAAATCAATAAGACCTGATCAGGTTCATTCTCTTACAATAACTCACAAGAAGCCAATAAGAGCGGCAACTACACAAACTATAAATCGGTGGATTAAAGAAATTTTGGTACAGAGTGGTATAAACACAAGCATATTTACTGGACACAGTGTTAGACATGCATCCACTTCGGCTGCATACAGAGCAGGTCTAAATATTGACATAATTCGGAAGACTGCCGGTTGGTCAGAATCATCCACGGTGTTCAATACGTTCTACAATAAACCTCTTTGTTCAGAACCAGGAGAATTCATGAGAACTATATTGAAAGACTGAAAAATCATCTGGAGGTCATTTTGATGATGTTTCGTAATTTATTGATTTAATTTAATAACAATGTCTAAGTGGGTGATAAATATTAAAGTTGTTCTTTGTTATACACTTGTTATATACCTTATTGCTATCACTACAATAAGGTTATCGTTTTTGTGAAAACAGCATTTACTATTATATTATTCTATATTTTTTGTAATTTAATAAATTCTATTTACTGTATCATTGCACTTTTATGTGATCTCTGAATATCTATCAAAATGTACCAAAGGAGGACGTAGATGTGAAGAATAATTAAATGATTGATCGACTTACCTGTAGGAAGATCAATCCTAATTATTCGAACATCGTAGTCCTCCTTTGGTACCAAAAACCCTCCCACCCCAAGGTTCATCACTATCACCCTGCATGAAAGTGTAATATATAGGTACCTCCACAAATTTTTAGACTGATTCATAGGAACTGGTCAGGCGAGGTGATAAGAGCATGGGAAACAAAAAAGTGTTTATACTCTAAGCCATGTACACAGGACATAATTATTGGAATCTATCAAAATGTACCAAAGGAGGACTACGATGTTCGAATAATTAGGATTGATCTTCCTACAGGTAAGTCGATCAATCATTTAATTATTAGCTATAAAAAAGCAATTGTCTGAAAATTGTCCCTCTTATATGTTGTGTCCTATTGATTATGATCAATTTGTGTTAATAATAATTATATAAATTCACATTAGAGGACATTTGATAACATAGGACTGTGGACATTGTCTTGTCAGTTCTCAGCATTCAGCACAGCGTTGCCAAGTATCTATGGCAAATATTTACACATGGTGTTTTTTACGGAATATAAAATATATTTTGACAAGCTGGTTGCTCGAAAAAGTCTGAAATTGATAACTATAATATCATGGTTTCCTCCTGTTAGACCAAGATGAGACAGAATAACGTCTCAGGAGTGATCTAAATGGGGTGCAAAAATCACGATCTTTGAAGGTTGGGTCGAGCTTTATTTTTCCAATGCCATTATGTACAAAGCTTTGGCACAAACCAGAACTCTTTCACTATATGCAAAAATTAGTACACCATGAAATACCATTAACGCCTCTTAATGAATGAATAAATAACAGCAAAGATATGTATCTAACCCGAAATTGATATTTGGATATAGGGCTCTAACAACTTTTTAATAACTTGATTATAATTAGTGTTTTGAAAAACGCGCAAGAAGTGCTGCAAAAATTAATTCAGGTGTGTATGGACAGGGTGGCGTAATTGAATGCAAATTATTGACACCAGTCCACCAGCCCATTCCAATACATTATCCGACAATCAATAATCATTCTCACCTATTATGGGTCCGAGCACCAGCGAAATACCTCCATTGAACAACATGGTGATACCATTGGCAGCAGGAATTTTTTCCAGAGGCAAGATTTTCGGAATTATCACCGATTGATACACCGCTCTGGTGCCCTTTGTCAGACCAATTAAACAACAGGAGAAGTAAACTACCCCAAAGGACTTGCCGAAAACTGCAAGAACTGCAACGAAACAATAGAATAGTCATCACACTATAGTCAGTATAGTCCATCACAACTTAGAAGACAGCATTGGTATTATTGGTAACAATAGGGAAGCGTTGACCTTCGCTTTGATTGGTGAATATCGGAGGCAATATTACATCCGCCTAATATTATGTCATGTGACGTGACGTCATGAAAAACATTCCATTTATTTGTTGTATATTTAATATGTTACAATAAAACCTGAGAAGAAGACGCCATCTTATGCATTTCATCAGTGTAATGATTGCAACTGAGGCAGCGTCACCTACTGTATTCTTATTTGGAACGTAGTTCAGCACTTCTCGGCAACCATCAGAAGCATGCACAGTGACAAAGAAGTGTTCGCGTTTTTCCAGTAATGTTTGATATTCCACAGGTTTTGTGTTTTCATCTTATATGAACTAGTTTGGGATAGTTTCGAATCGGTCCATAGCATTACGCGCCTCTGAGGGCGATTTCCGCAATTGTTTTTTCCGATGAATAGACAATATCCTACACTATACTTTTTTCTACGGCTGTAACAGATAATAGCGAAATTTTTGATATCTTCGTTTTGTTGCCATCTGATTTTCTCTAAGGTAATACTCATTTATAAAACAGAAGACAGAGTTGTCATTGCTTGAAATTTGACATTTCATGGGAGAAGAGATTTTGTGAAATAATAACACAATGTGATAATCACAATGTGAACACAATGTGATAAACACATTGTGATATTAGACAAGGAAATTGATTGATTTATTGAACACAGTAAAACATTTATCAAACACAGTAAAACAGAAGAAATTTTGTGCTATGGCCGTTGAAAATATTAAATTGTTTAATGAGCACGGAATGAGTGGTTTCCCACGAGAATGGAGTTTGCAGCATGAGCCGTAGACGAATGCTGCAATCATCAGAGTGGGAAATTAGCATTCCCTGCTAGTTATACACTATAATATTTCTACGGCTGCAACAGATGACAGCTGCATTTTTTATTTCTTTGTCTTTTAGCCATCTGATTCGCTCTCAAGTAATGCTCATCTATTAGACAGAGCTGTCATTGCTTGAAAATTGACATTCCATGAGTAATGAGATTTTTTTGAAATAATAACACAATGGGGTCATTGTGATATCAGATACAAAAATAAAATTGATGACATACAAAATACCTCATTGATGTATCGAACACAGTAAAACAAGAGCAATCTTCTATAGCCGTAGAAAAACTAGTATTTTTCCATTTAGATCGACAATGGCTCAAACCCCAATTTGTTGAGACCCTGTACTCACCTGTTCTGGCAAAAGTCGCCAGCACCAAAGCCCCCATATACATCAACTTGGGAGCCACATCCAATCTATACCCCAAAAACGGCACCAGCAACCTCCCGACGATATCGAAAGCGAACTGGAACGATGTCACGTTCGCCACGTCAGACCTCGTGAAATTCGACAGTTCCGGCAGCAGAAACTGCATCATCAAGATGACGCTGAGCTCAGCCGAAAAAGATATTCCAAGGCCAACCACCACCAAAATGAAGGGGAGGTGTTTGAAGAGGTCGAGGTCGAAAAGGTCGTACAGTTTGGTAAGCAAGCCGTTTTTGGGTTTCGCGCAGGGTAGCGTCGTTTCGTTGTATACGTTGGAGGTCAACAGCTGATCTTGTGTATTTTCCTGCAATTGAAGAATTTCTTGCCATCACTATAAGAAATAGCCACTACTTAAAAAACAGGGCTATAAAGATAATTATCAGGAATTGAGGATTGGGAGGAATTGAAAGGAAATGGAGTTTGTGAGCTAGGTATGGCCGCAGGGGCCCAAACTCTAACAACTTGTGATTGAAAATGACTTGAAAATAAAGGAAATTTATGTGAATGACTGGAAGACACTTTGAGGGACTGAATGGAGATTGTAGTAAATGCAGGAAATTAGTGGAAACTGAAAGGAATTGATGTGCATTAGGAAGGCAATGAAGTAGATGACATGGTGATGATTGGTGAGGAAATCAGAATTATAGGAAAAAACAATGAAGATATTTATACGCAATTGAAATTCGACAGTTCCGGCAGCAGAACCTGCATCACCAAGTTGAGTTTGAGCTTGGACGAAAAAGATATTCCAAGGCCGACCACCACCAGAATGAAGGGGAGGTGCTTGAAGAGGTGGAGGTCGAGGTCGAAGAGGTCATAGAGTTTGGCGAGCAAGACGTTTTAGGGTTTAGCGCAAGGTAGAGACGTTTCGTTGTACACGTCGGAGGTCAACAGCCGATCGTGTAAATTTTTCTGCAACTGAACGATTTCTTGGCATCACGAAAGAATATCCTACTTCATGGAAGAAGGAAAAAGCTGGGAATGAATTGAGAGAAATAGAGGATATTGAAAGCTATAAAATATCTCTAAAGTGAAGAAAAGGAGACCATCATTTGAAATCAAGGAAATTGGTGGTAATTGGCAGGAATCTAGTTAACAAATGGATTTTGAAGAGGTTTCAAAGAATAAGGAGAGAATTATTCAACATTTGAGAAACTTAGGGAGTTGAAGTACATGATCAAAATTGAAAGGCAATGAAGAGGGTGGGTTGAAAATCCAGAAACAAAGGGACATATTGGAAGAGGAAATGAAACTTCAGAGAAGTGTATATAGTAATCCATGAAAATAGGGGATTTGGAAGGACACAAAAGAAACCAATGAGAATTTGTGGGCACAAACAGAGAAAAAATCAGAAAATGGACATGAATTAGAAACATTGAAATTAAATTGAGGTATTGATAGCAAAATGATGAAAATAAAAAAAAATTGATGGTATATAGGTACCTTCACCAATCGATACAAAATTGAGAAATACAGTAGGATGATGGATACATTGGAAGAGATCATGAGGCGTGGGGAAAATATGAGGAAATGGGAAAATGGAAGTCAGCTCATGAGAAGTAGAGAACTTGGAAGTAATCTGTAGAAAACCAAAAGCAGTTCATGGATAGGGAACAGATGATTTGGAAGAATTTGATTACTGAGGGAGATTGAATGGAGATCAAACGAATTGGAAGAAATTGGGAGACTGTGGAATTGAATGGAAATAAATTCAACCCAACGAATATTCGGATATAATGAAAAATACCTTCACCATCATATCGCAATTAATTGTCTCATCTTCAGATCTCTTCAGTTCCTCCAATTCCTTCATCTTCTGCGATTCCTCCACCACAACCGGATCATTCCTCCTCACCGGTCTCAGAAGGAATACACCCACCAACGACAAAAGCGAATTCGCAAATAATACTAGGACGGTGTTGCGCCTGCCCAGACGCGCCAGCAAAATATCGCACACTTTCGGCATGAAAATGGACGCCAGGCTGGCGCCAGTGGTCGAAATGCTTACAGCCAGAGTCAGTCTTTTCTTGAAGTATGAGTATGTGGCGAGGTATGTTGCAGGCAACAATATTCCTTGACCCAGTCCTGAAAATAAACGCGTTTCCGGTCCCAGTAACTTCAACTTTCTTCATTTCAAAAAGTATTCCCCTAATTTCATCGAATTTCCCTAACCTAAACAAAATTTTACTATTATCATTAGAAAAATAACAAGAGATCACTACAAACAATTATGATACAACTTAGATATAATACCTACATATTTGTTCAGACTTAGCAAAAATATGCAGGATGCTATATTGGGTATCGAATGAGGCTCCATTTTGTCAAATGGTATTCGTTTTTTTCCCGCTTATATAAGGTCTTTCGATATTGCTCAAGTTCTGATATGCAAGTGAAAACAAGTTATTTATCTTAGAACATACATTGAAGATGTAGTGATATTATTTGATGTTATGCTCTAATATTGAAAGGTTCTTAAATGAAGTGAGGTTAGGAATAAAAATAAATGTATGAGCAGTTCTATCGGAAAATTGCGTTTTGAAAAGTGAAAATATTTCAGGAATTCAATTCGTAATCTTGAGTATATAGATAGAACCAGATTTATATTCATCGAATACCAAACACTAGCATATTTTCGAGTTTTTGAAAACAATAAATATTTCCAGAACCAAGAACAATCGATAGTTCAACTGAAATCAAAATACCTCATTTGATTGCTTTTTCTTTTCTTCAGATTCTTGTGCAAAGCCAATGCAGAATTTCAAATTCCAAAATTATTTCATTATTGAAACTCTGCTCGAAATTATGTTTTATATTAAAAAAAAATTATAGATTTCTGCTCATAGAAATATGGAAGAGTATGATTCTTGATTGACATGTTATCATGAAACGTTTATAAAACTATAGAATGTTACTCCGCTTGAATAATTATTCAACAATATTTCAGACAAACGATGAAAAATAATATTTCAAACCTTCGGAAAATGCATATATACCTATCTACCTTAAATTAAAGAATATATAATTGTTCCGAAAATAATAATCTAATCTTCCGCAGATTTCTTACCTATAAGAAGTGATACAGAAGATATCAAAAGCGAGTACGAATCAGCAAAACTAGTGATCAGAATACCCAAACACCAGAAAAAGGCACCTAGGCCAGCCACCACTTGGAAATTATACTTTTTGAGCAACGGGCTACTAACAAAACCTGAAAAAAAAATCATAAACACCCAGAAACACCCATACAAATGTCAGTATTACCTACAACACAGTACATTGAACTGTGAAGGTGAAGAAGAAATGATGTTTGTGCGGCTGATATTCCCATGGAAGCAAACTCATCATGGAAAATTATTCCGAAGAATTGGACCAAACTCATCAATGTTGACTGGAATAACAAAAAAAAAGTGAGTAGTCCATGGTAGGCTCAACCGGAAGACAAACATGATTGATAAGTCACGCCCTTTCCCCACTTCTCCGAATTCATGACCGAGCACATTTTTCATGTTTTCCATTATTATCGTATGTGATACAACAAGTGTATTGATGATGACAACACCAGATACCAATTTCAAATAGAAACGGATCATAATTGAAGGGGCAAGTGGAAGGAGGGGTTATGTTACAAATATGAGTTTGTGAGAAAAATAGGTTTTAGTGAAGCTAGTTTAATAATTGAATTTATGCAATTGTGAGAAATATTCATTTTACTTGATTCTTTGGGATTTTCTCTCCTCGTTTCTATAAAATAAAAATATGCGTATTATTTCAATATATTTGTAGTGGGCCATATCAGATGATTGTGAGGAATAGTTTCAGGTTGATTTTTTATGATTTACAGCATTTTGCTATTACATCATTTTTTGATGGACATCTGGATTTTGCGTACATAACCCCTTCTTCCAGTTCCTGACATGTAAGCAATGGCCACATAGCTCCTTCTTCCATTGCATCCTTGATGTTTAATATAACATGGCCCCTTCTACCACTGTGTATCTGCTCAGATATGAGAAATAGAAACAAATCCTGACAGGACAAGTTACATATGCACGTAACACGTTCTTCCATGACATGACCGAATAATTTCAGAAAATGTTACTTGACCCCTTCTTCCACTTGCCCCTTCAATTACACAGCTCATCCGCAACAACATTGGATCCGCCATCTTTAATTTTTCAATTTTGAGAAAAGAATCATAATTTTCGACACCAACAACCCCCACAAATACCAATTTTAAATAGAATTGGATCATAATTACAAAACTCGTCCGTCATATTGGATCCGCCACCTTGAATTTCCCCAAATTTGACGAGAAAACCATAATCTCCGACCCCGAAAGCTCCCAGATACCAATTTTGAATAGAATCAGATTATAATTAGAAAACTCGTACGCCATTTTGGATCCGCCATCTTGAATTTCCAAATTTTGACGAAAGAATCCTAATCTCCGACCCCGGAAACCACCAGATATCAATTCTAAATAGAAACGGATCATAAATTACGAAACTCGTCCGCAACATTGAATGCGCCATCTTGAATTTTTCAATTTTGATGAGAGAATCATAATCTCCGACTCCGAAAACCCCCAGATACCAATTTTGAAAAGAATCAGATCATAATAATAATAAAACTCTTCCGCCATTTCAGAGCCACCATTCTGGTTTTTTGTCTAACAAAAATGTCATGATACATTTTCACCAAAATTATGTACTAATAGTATATAACAGATTTATTCACAAAAACTCAATTTTAACAAAGATTGGTTAACAATAAGAACTAATCGAGACACGTTCGAATACTCAAACTAAAAACTGAACTGCTCGGTGTCCGTTATCACTCGCCTGCCGGTCTTGATTATTCAATAACCGCATTCCAACGATGATATGGTTGATTCATTGCTGACAACTAGTTGTATTTACGGGGTGCTCCGAATATTGACGCTAACACGGCCAAACTGACGGGGGTGTTTCGGTCTCGAGACACTTGATTTCGTCGCCACCTAAACGGCAAACGGGTTATGTCACTTCGGGGGTACACATTTCCCTTGGCTGTAATTGTTGCGCAGCTGGTGATATCTCAGCATCTGAACATGTATCGTCTTCATTACCTATAGTACAGAAATCAATTAATTAGTTCGTGTATGGGACACGCAGAAACGAGTCTGACAGTAAACAAATACGACTCGTAAAATGCATCAGTCAATTAGTGAAGCATGACTGGGAGAACTCTTCGGTTAAGTCAAAATGAAACATAACCGGAAAACTTCATCAATCATGTCACTGCGGAACATGATCGGAAAGAAAAACAGTCATCAATCAAGTCACTACGGAACATGATCGGAAATAGTCATCAATCAAGTCACTACGGAACATGATCGGAAACCAGTTCATAAAGAACACCAGAACTTGAATCGGAGTATTCATGAATGTTACCTTCATCGACATTTTCGCCGCTTTCAAGCATATCCAGTAAATCACTCGTGTCAACAGAAAGACTCCAATCAATCGGCCAGGGCCTCAGCTATTCCTTGGCAGCCTTAACAATCTTATTTTTGCCAACTCGCTTCAGTTCGTAACGGTCTTCGGGAGTGACAGCAATAATTTCATAAGGTCCCATGGATTCACAATTGGTTTTACTGACGTGCATTTTGCTAGCTCTATATAAGAGTACAAAATCTCCTACGGAATAGTGTATAGTGTCCCGTCTCTTCAAATTGATTTGTTGCTCTACAGCTTCACTAGGCTTCAAACGTTCGGCAATACGTTTGCGATCTAACTCCAAATTGCGGACGGTTGACAAATCCTTGCCCAAGTCGGCGAGGGCGGCTTGAATTAGTGGTGTACTGGTCTGTATACCTATGAGGGCTTGTAGTGGGGATACATTCGTTGATTTCTGAATGGTGGTATTCAATACGAGCTGTATTTTCCACAAAGAGCTCGGCCATTCTTCCTTGAGTCGTGTTTCGATGCGAATCAAATTCATAATTGTGCGCATATAGCGTTCTGCTTGACCGTTAGCTCTATGGATATCAGGAGTTATGAAATGATAGTCAATGCGCCAAGTATCTAAGAATTTACAAATATTAGCATTCTTAAAATTTAAGCCTGCGTCCATTATAATTAATTTTGGAGTACCAAATAGTGAAATAAAGTTTTGCAGAAGTTGCTTTGTTTCCGAAGACGTCTGTGTTTTTAATGGTATCAGATTACAATATTTAGAAAAAGAATCAATTATTACAAACACGTGTTTATAACCGTTAATAACTGGCAGTGGGCCTAGACAGTCTATATGTATTGAATGCAAGGGCTCATTTGGTTTAACTGGCAACTTGATTAGCCCTTGTAACGGCCCAGTCCGAGTTTTCTTGACTGCACGAACTAAGCAGTGCCGAATATATTTTCTCACAAATGCTCGCAGATGAGGAAACCAGAAGTGTTTGAGAATCGAGTCCACAGTTTTATCAGTGCCAATGTGACATTGTTCGTCATGAAACAAACGGAGCAATCCCAATCTACTAAGTCTAGGTACAAAATATCGGATGACTTTAGTTCCACCGGACAGTAAAGTTTGATGGCATAAGAGACCATTTTTTTCAACATATTGATTGGGATCAAGCTTGCCTTCACGCAATGAGGTCAACATTTGCTTCACCTCAGCATTACTCTTCTGTTCTATATGTAACCACGTATCATAATGAGAGACTTTGAGAACTGCAATATGATTTCGACTAAGATAATCAGCGTGAGTTAATGTTGACCCTTTGCGGTAGACGATATCGTAGTTGAAATCTTGCATGTATGTCCACCACCTAGCAATACGAGGAATTATTTCTTTCTTGCGCTCAGTCGCTTTGACAGAGTTACAGTCTGTCACTATGGTGAATTTTATCCCAATTAGATATACTCGAAAATGTTTTAAGGCATTGACTATAGCGAGAGTCTCGAGTTCATAAGAGTGATATTTTGATTCGGCCGGCGTAGTACGTTTACTATAATATGCCACGACTCTGTTTTGACCATCATATTTCTGCATTAATATTGCCCCATAGCCAAGAGAGCTGGAATCTGTATGCAATTCGGTCGGAAGGTTTGGATTGAAAACAACTAATAGTGGTGCGGACGTTAGACAATCAATCAAGTATTGTTTAGTTCTTTCATGATCGATTCCCCAAATGAAAGGAATATTCTTTTTTGTAAGTGCCGTTATGCAAGCGGTCCTAGTCGCAAATTCAGGAATGTACTTTCGAAAGTAGCTTGCAAGTCCCATCAATTGGCGAACTTGTTTAATATTTTTTGGTGATTCAACATTTCGAAGGGCCTCAACTTTACGCGTGCCAGGACGAATACCTTCAGAAGATATCTCTTGACCTAAGTATTCAATCTTAGATTGCAAAAAAAACATTTTGCAATATTTAGCGAGAAACCAGGTTTTTTGAGTGCCTGTAGTACTAGCTCAAGAGAATTCAATCCTTCTTCAATAGTTAGGGAAGGTATAAGGATATCATCAAGATAAACCAAAGCCACAGAATCTTCAAGAGTTCCCAGTGCCTTATTGATGGAGCGTTGAGAAACTGCAGGGGCATTAGCCAAACCAAATGGCATACGAAAATATTCGTAATGCCCATCTGGCGTGACAAACCCTGTCTTTTCTATTGAATCAGCACTGATGGGTATTTGATGGAAACCCGAGTTCATGTCCAACGACGTGAAAAAATGTCCTCGTCCTAATTGATCCAACTGATCATCCATCCTCGGTAGAGGATATCGATCTTTTATCGTATGAGCATTTAATTCTCGAAAATCTACTACCATCCTATATGAACCATTTTTCTTTTTGACTAGAAGGACAGGACTTGAATATAGGGAACTGCTTTCACGAATGATTTGGTTACTCAATAAATCTTTTACAATATTTTTCACTTCATTTCTCTCATGCGCAGCAAGTCTGTAGGGACGGCGGGAGACAATGAAATTGTCAATCGAATTGATATCAAGAGAAGCATTATCAACAAGTGAAACATTCGTTCCCATGGCGATCATATCAGAGTAATTACTGAGTGAAGTTATTAACTTACTTGAGTTTTCATCAGGCACATTATACTTGCCCATGCACTCATTTTGTGTGACACGTAATATACCAGGCAGTTGACGGCGAACAACTCGAGTACCTTCACTATCTGTAACTGCAGCTAGCTGACTGTTTTGTAATAAATCGCAACCAATAATTACATCGTATTCAATGCACTCAGAAGGATTTAACATGAAAGTTAAAGTATTACTTTGCCCGGTGATCTCAACATTGGCTCTGAATTTATACTTGGACTTCAACTCACCAGGTATAATACCACATAACACGGTTTGATGTTCCTCGAGCTTGTTTGAAAAATGT